ATGATTTCAGCGGGTTTCCCTTGGGGCCCCGTGCCTTGTCCCTCGCTGTTTCCCAACACAGGGAACACGGGCTCATGGGAGCGTCACGCGAGACCCACTCTTCCCTTTATAAAGAGGTATAGGGAACACGGGCTCATGGGAGCGTCACGCGAGACCCACTCTTCCCTTCCCTTTATAAAGAGGTATAGATAGATATAGATATAGAAAAAGGAGAGCACACATGCAACGAGCACAGTACCTACAATCGTTATCTCAGTTAGGGCATACTCACACTAGGCCCTCATGCCATTTTGCTATTTTGAGGGCCTATTGTGAGCATTCGCTTAGGTTTGCATTTCGGCAGGTGATGGGTGTACGAACTGAGTTCGGCCCCTTGGTCTCCCGCTCATTTTTTTGGTAGATAAAAAGGATTTCTTCAATCTCGCCCCTGAAATTCGCTTCCTGTGTGGAGGGGTCCTACAGGGGTCCGCAGCCGGAATTGTTTTTTTTTTTTTCCAAAAAATTTAGACCATTTCTCGATTTATGCGTGTCATGCTTGCGCAGGGATGTCCCGAAGGACGCAGCCCGAATTTTTTCACAGCCTCCAGGGGAGCAGTAGAACTCACACAATCGCGGTAGACGACGCGTGGACCGGTCGTTTTGGCAGTCTCTCCGCGGCTTTCCCCGCCACGGTGGGCCAATCGGGGGAGCGGTCGAGCCCCTGCCACGTCGGATGTCATCCTGCGCGCCTCATCCGCAGCGTTCTGCGCGTGGTGTGGGCATAAACACGCAGCTGACGTGGCAGTTTGTCTGATCTGGCAGGATGATACGGCTGGTGGACGCGCCTGCCATCCGCGTAGGGGTAGGGGGGGGATTGCCGCCCGGCGGCCGTGCGCTCTCGTCGGTTCTCGGAGCGGGAACGGTCGGTTCCAGGGGCGCCACGTGGTGGAGAGGTCGTGGGGCTCAGTGTGTCCCTTGCAGCAGGTCCCACTCCGGTCCCCGCCCGGGTTCCCCAGCCAGTACGGCTGACACGTGTCCTCCTCCTCTTGTCGCTCGGACCTCCGCTTATCTGCGGCGATGGGGAAACATGCCGAGCCTGCTGGCGCGGAGATGGGCGGACGACAGGGGGGAAAAGGCACGTGCGCTCGTCGGCGGAGCACGGGGGAAAGGAGCCGTGAATCGCCGAGAACAGCAGGGGGGGTTCCCGATCGCGACGGGGGGAACCGACCCGCGCTTCTCTCATCTGGCCATCCTTCATCCGAAGATTAGCTGCTCCATGCCTCTCTCCATGCCGCACGTCCACGTGGCCGCCACGTGGACGCACGATGCTGACGTGGACGATCGGATGTCGTCGAGCCGTCGCACGACGACTCCGACAAGCATCCGCTTCGTCGGTCGGGATATCACGCAATGCCGGCGGCGGCGGCGAAAGGCGGGGACAAGGGCGCACGGAGTCGGGACGGAAAGCGCCGCGACTTGGGGGAAAGGCGATCGGACGACGACGTGTGCGACAAAGTGCGCGGCTGTGCGCCGCACTGCTACCCCGCGGTCGGAGAAGCGCGCCGGTGAGCGACGGCGGCTGCGCGTACTTGCTAGTTCCACAAGCACCGAGTCTGAGCGCAATGCGCGCACCGATCCCGACGGAGCAGCCGTGCGGAAAGGCAATCTTGCGGCCAATCATGTACCCTCGACGAGCTCAATGGCGAACAGCAGTGGCGAAACTTCAGGCGAAGCTTCAGATGATCAAGTCAGTACCTTTCTTGTCCTTTTGTTGCTCTTTTTTGTATATATGTATGACCTTTTTTTTTTTTTTTAAATTACTATGTGTACATTATTTTTATTTTATTTGTTTAAAAAGAAGTTGGTGCCAACAATCTGCCGACAATTACCTGGGGCGCGATCCCGTTTGCCATGATTTTTCAGTTTTTTATTTTTCTGAATTTCATTAATCCAAAAAAAAGATACTGAAGTCCAGAAACGTACAATCCGAGTAAGTGGGAACCCACCCCAGCGGAAAGCCTGTCCAGCTCATCCATGATTTATGTATTTTACGACCCTTTTTCTTTTCTCTTTTTGCTATTTTCCTTTTTCCTTTTTATTTTTATTTTTTTTAATCCGTTTCTCGATTTATGCGTGTCATCCTTGCGCAGGGGCTATGCGAATCTTCTCTCTTTCTCTCTTTCTCTCTTTCTCTCTTTCTCTCTCTCGTTCGCTCTCTCTCTCTCTCGTTCTCTCTCTCTCTCTCTGTATCGTTCCAATTTATCTTTTGAAAAATCAAGAGTTCCATGGTCCCCTCGGGACATCCGTTGAAAATCGGAACGATACACAAACACACAGAGACAGACAGACAGAGAGAGAGAGAGAGAGAGAGAGAGAGAGAGAGAGAGAGAGAGAGAGAGAGAGAGAGAGAGAAGATTAGCATGGCCCCTGCGCAAGGATGACAAGCATAGATCGAGAAATGGATTAAAAAAAGAAAAAGAAAAAAAAAAGAAGAGTTTCGAACGTTACCCGTGACAGTAATTCTTTATTTCTCTCCTCGCAAAGAAAAAAAACAAAAACAAAAACTTTTTTCTTTTCCTGAACAGCTTCCGAAGTGTGATTCGTTGAATTCACCCATCGATTTTCACCATTAGGGGGTACCTGTAATTATATCAATAAAATAAAATAAAATAAAAAAGTAACATCACATTACCATTATTATTATTACATTAATTTACGTATGCAGAGGTGCGTGCAGAGTGATGTTGTGCCCCATTCCTCCCCCCGCCAAAAAAAAATAATAAAATAAAAATGTTGTGCCCCACTCTCTTCATTCCCGGACACTATGCGTCGGGATCTGAACTGGTTTGACGTTTTGATAACCATTTAGTATGTCTTCTTCTTCTTCTTCTTTTTTTTTTTCCCCGTATGTATCTGGTTGCCCAGGCGTCCCTATGCGGAATTTGGGCCCTCATAAAAATTCCATAAAATTGACTGGCCGCCTCCATAAATAGGGGCCCCAGTTGGTACACCCACAAACTGCTGAAATACAGACCCAAGTTTTTTTTTTTTGTTTTTGAGACCCAAGTTCGAATCCAGATGGAACTAGATGAACAGAATAAAATCGTTCTCAATTATTTGGGGCCGGTCAGGTCAATTATCATATCTCAAGGCCGTCGCCCTTTTTTCTTTTTTTAATTAAAAAAAAAGTTTATTCCTTCAGAAATTGAGGAGAAAGATCGGTTTTTAAAAAGAAAAAACAACAAAAAAAAGAAACGCCAAAAAAAAGGAATCCTTAAAAAATGCAGTTTATAACTTTATACCCTAAAAAATTGAGGAGAAAAAAAAAAAAAAAAAAAAAAAAA